GGGATCCACCCCATTAATTATCCACCCCATTAATGACCCATCACGGGATCCACCCCATTAATGACCCATCACATGATCCAGCCCATTAATTATCCACGCCATTAATGACCCATCACGGGATCCAACCCATCAATGGATGGGATGTAAGATCTCCCCTTAATGACTGGGAGATAATTAAGGCTGGGAGCTAACGAAGGCCGAGCCAGAGCGGGCTGTAGTTCCGGAACGGATGCCGGGACGGCGCTGAGGAGCCGATTCCGGGCGGGAATCACCTCTGGACCACCAAGGATCCAACCCATCAATGGATCCATCCCATCCATTAATGACCCACCATGGGGTCCAACCCATTAATGGATGGGATCTAAGATCTCCCCTTAATGACTGGGAGATAATTAAGGCTGGGAGCTAACGAAGGCCGAGCCGGAGCGGTCTGTAATTCCGGAATGGATTCCGGGACGGCGCCGAGGAGCCGATTCCGGGCGGGAATCACCTCTGGACCACCAAGGATCCAACCCATCCATTAATGACCCACCATGGGATCCAACCCATTAATGGATGGGATGTAAGATCTCCTCTTAATTACTGGGAGATAATTAAGGCTGGGAGCTAACGAAGGCCGAGCCGGAGCGGGCTGTAATTAAGGAATGGATGCCGGGACGGCGCCGAGGAGCCAATTCCGGGTGGGAATCACCTCTGGACCACCAAGGATCCATCCCATCCATTAATGACCCACCATGGGATCCAACCCATTAATGGATGGGATGTAAGATCTTCCCTTAATGACTGGGAGATAATTAAGGCTGGGAGCTAACGAAGGCCCAGCCGGAGCGGGCTGTAATTCCGGAATGGATTCCGGGACGGCTCCGAGGAGCCGATTCCAAGCGGGAATCACCTCTGGACCACCAAGGATCCATCCCATTAATGGATCCAACCCATCAATGACCCATCACGGGATCCAACCCATCAATGGATGGGATGTAAGATCTCCCTTTAATGACTGGGAGATAATTAAGGCTGGGAGCTAACGAAGGCCGAGCCGGAGCGGGCTGTAATTCCGGAATGGATGCCGGGACGGCTCCGAGGAGCCGATTCCGGGCGGGAATCACCTCTGGACCACCAAGGATCCATCCCATCCATTAATGACCCATCACGGGATCCAACCCATTAATGGATGGGATGTAAGATCTCCCCTTAATGACTGGGAGATAATTAAGGCTGGGAGCTAACGAAGGCCGAGCTGGAGCGGGCTGTAATTAAGGAATGGATGCCGGGACGGCTCCGAGGAGCCGATTCCGGGCGGGAATCACCTCTGGACGCGGTAGACGCGCGTCCATGGCGGCACCAGGGCCAGGATCCGGGCCACCAGGTCCACCAGGGTGCTGGCGGGGTAACTGCGGTATCTCCCGCTTTTCCAGAGCTCGTAGAGCCCGGTGCCGCGGATCACCAGCGTCGGGTACAGCTTCATCCCGTCGGGGCGGAAGGCGGGGTTCTCGAAAATCTCCTGGGGAAAAAAAAACGGAATAAAAGAATTAAAAAAGGAATTAAAAAAAAAAAAATTTAAAAAAAAAAGGTTTGGTGGGATCGGGAGCTTCGCGCGGAGTCGATTCCAGAGGGGTTTTGTGGTTGGAAATGTGGGAATGGTTGAGGATTGCGGGCGTAGGGTGAGCTGGGAGGGTTGACGGCTTTGTGGCGTTTTTGGGAGTGAAAAATCTGGTTTGGATTTGAAGAGGAGGCCACGGAAAAGCAGGATGAGTCAAATCGGTGTTTTCCTTCTATTTTCCAGCGTGGATAGTGTCCAAGGTTGGATTTAAACAATTGACAAATCCAATTTATCCAGTTGATAAACCCAAGGTTGGATTTATCCCTGGAAGTGTCCAAGGTTGGATTTATCCTATTCATAAATCGGATAAATTTATCGAATTGATAAACCCAAGGTTGGATTTATCCCCGGAAGTGTCCAAGGCTGGATTTATCCAATTGATAAATTGGATAAATTTATCCAACCAATAAACCCAAGGTTGGATTTATACCTGGAAGTGTCCAAGGCTGGATTTATCCAATTGATAAACTGGATATCCAATTGATAAATATAAGGTCAGATTTATCCCCGGAAGTGTCCAAGGCTGGATTTATCCAATTGATAAATTTGATATCCAATTGATAAATATAAGGTTGGATTTATCCCCGGAAGTGTCCAAGGCTGGATTTATCCAATTCATAAATTGGATAAATTGGATAAATTTATCCAATTGATAAATCCAAGGTAGGATTGATCCCTGGAAGTGTCCAAGGCTGGATTTATCCAATTGATAAATTGGATAAATTTATCCAATTGATAAATCCAAGGTAGGATTTATTTCTGGAAGTGTCCAAGGCTGGATTTATCCAATTGATAAATTGGATAAATTTATCCAATTGATAAATATAAGGTTGGATTTATCCCCGGAAGTGTCCAAGGCTGGATTTATCCAATTGATAAATTGGATAAATTTATCCAACCGATAAACCCAAGGTAGGATTGATCCCTGGAAGTGTCCAAGGTTGGATTTATCCAATTGATAAATTGGATAAATTTATCCAATTGATAAATCCAAGGTTGGATTTATCCCTGGAAGTGTCCAAGGTTGGATTTAACCAATTGATAAATTGGATATCCAATTGATAAATCCAAGGTTGGATTTATACAATTGATAAATCCAAGGTTGGATTTATCCCTGGAAGTGTCCAAGCTTGGATTTATCCAATTGATGAATTGGATATCCAATTGATAAATCCGAGGTTAATAAATCCAAGGCTGGATTTATCCCTGGAAGTGTCCAAGGCTGGATTTATCCAATTGATAAATTTGATATCCAATTGATAAATATAAGGTTGGATTTATCCCCGGAGGTGTCCAAGGCTGGATTTATCCAATTGATAAATTTGATATCCAATTGATAAATATAAGGTTGGATTTATCCCTGGAAGTGTCCAATGCTGGATTTATCCTATTCATAAATTGGATAAATTGATAAACCCAAGGATAAACAAAGGAAGCAGAAAATTCCGACGCGTGCCGAGCTTTCGGAGGAATTGTGGCCTTTTCTTGCGTTTGTTTGGATTTATTTTTAATTAGACACATTAAAAGGTGTCTCGGGCTGATTCAAAAAAACCCTCCCGAGCCTTTTCCTGCCAAAATCAATTGAATCCCCAAAATCTTTGTTCCACCACCCGTGGCAGCTCCGGAGGTTTTTCCATCAGCTCCAGGTTGAGTCAGGAAGGGTCGAGGATGCCCCGGGGTGGGCAGATCCCGAATTTCTGAATCCCAGAGAATTCCGTATTCCAAACGGAAGCGCCGACTTCCAAGCTGCCACATCAATCCTCCTCGAGGATTTCTCGAGGCGTTTAACAGGTTTGGAGTTAATTAAGATGGGAAATGGAAATACGGCAATGCGGCCAACGGGCAGGAGGAGAGAGATTAACGCGGCGATTTAAAAAAAAAAAAAATTGAAATGGAGATTTCATTGAAGCAAAAAAAAATAGAAAAAAAAAAAATAGAATAGAATAGAATAAAATAAAGTAAAATAAAATAAAATAAAAAAA